CGAGCCCTTCACCCCGGGGGATCGTGCTATATAATCCTCCATTGTGCCCATTAGGTAAAAGCTTATCAGTTCCCCTACCTTCTTCCCTTCCCCTTTCCCCTTCTCCCTCCTCCACCCACTTGAATTTGTGTTTTTTTTTTTTCTTCTCATGTGGACATATAGTTGTTTACCTATTGGTCTCATATTAGCATTAGCACATTGATACTTGCTTTTCCATCTTTGTGATACTTTACTAAGAAGAATGTTCTTCAGCTCCATCCAGGTAAACACAAAAGATGTAAAGTCTCCATCTTTTATGGTTGAATAGTATTCCATGGTATACATGTACCACAGTTTATTAATCCATTCATGTGTTGATGGGCACTTGGGCTGATTCCACGTCTTAGCAATTATGAATTGAGCTGTAATGAACATTCTAGTGCAAATGTCCTTTAAGGTAAAGTGAACTTTTTTCTTCCAGGTAGATAGCTAGTAATGGAATTGCAAGATAAAATAGAAGGTCTACTTTTAGCTCTTTGAAGATTCTTCATATTTCTTTCCATAGGGGCTATATTAGTTTACAGTCCCACCAGCAGTGTAAGAGTGTTCCCTTCTCTCCACACCCACTCCAGCATTTGCAACTTTGAGACTTTGTAATGTGAGCCATTCTTACTGGGGTTAGGTGATAGATATCTCAAGGTAGTTATGATTTTCATTTCTGTAATGACTGGGGATGATAAGCAATTTTTCATGTGTTTATTGGCCAGTCATCTGTCTTTTCCAGAAAGGGTTATGTTCATGTCTCTTGCCCACTTATAAATGGTATTGTTTGCTCTTTATTTTTGGAACCAGAAAAAACTTAGAATAGCCAATACAATTCTAAGAAATCAAAGCAAATCTGGAGGCATCACGTTACTAGACTTCAGGTTATACTACCAGTCTGTAGGGATCAAAACAGCATGATAGTGGCACAAAAATAGAGACACAGATCTATAGAGAAGAATAGAGAGCCTAGTGATGAAACTAGTCATGTTCACCATCTGATCTTTGATAAACCAAACAAAAGCATACATTGGGAAAAAGAATCACTATTTAATAAATGGTGCTAGGAGAACTTGTTAGCCACATGTAGAAAATTGAAACTGGACCCACACCCCTCACCACTTACAAAAATTGACTCTTGTGGGATAAAATATTTAAATTTAAGACTTGAAACAATAAAAATTCTAGAAAAGATGTGGAAAAAACTCTTGTCAATATCAGCCTGGGAAAAGATTTTATGAAGAAAACCCCTTTGGCAATTGCAGAAACACCAAAAATTAATAAATGAGGCATAATCAACCTAAAAAGCTTCTGCACAACTAAGGTTACATCAACTAAAGCAAACAGACAGCCTTCAAATGGGAGAAGATATTGGCCTACTACAAATATGACAAAGGACTAATAAGTTACTTTATTCTATTAATGGTTTTCTTGTCTGTAAAATAGTGCTAATGAAATCTACCTCACTGTTGTTATAAGCATTCAATGACTTTATCATACTACGTCGTGTATAGTTTTCCTTTACTTTTTTTTTGGCCAGGGCTGAGTTTGAACCCACCACCTCTGGCACATGGGGCCAGTGCCCTACTCCTTTGAGCCACAGGTACTGCCCTATAGTTTTCCTTTAATAAATAGCATATATGAGTTTTATAAGTACATGTACATATACACACTTGACATGCTTACCTTTTCCTCACACGTGTAATTTATCCATCTATCCTCAATGCCATCCTCCTAGAGCCTTGCCTTTAGGCCCTGAAGCATTCACCTTCTTCCAAGTTCACAATTAGCTAATGTAAGAATCTAATTACTGAAAATGTGCTAATGAGAAAGCATAAGGTAAGAGGACAGTGACTACTGCCTGCCAGTTCAAATACCACTCAGTAGTAAAATACAGTCTTGGAAACAAAACTGTACTAAAAATTGCATAGACCAGAGCAGTGACTCATGGTGTGAATTTTAAGCAGCATTATTTGGGAGCTTACTGTAGCTTTCAGTAACTATGACTGTTTCTACCACATATGCTAATACCTCCTAGACCAGTGGTGCTCAACAATTTTGGCACCAGGGACTCATTTCATGGAAGATAATTTTTCTACAGGCTGGAGTGGGGAAAATGGCTTGGGGATGATTCAAGCACATTACATTTATTGTGCACTTTATTTCTGTTATTATTACATTGTAATATATGATTAAATAATTATACAACTCTCCATAATGCAGAATCAGTGGGAACCTGCTGGGGTCCTGCCCTGGATGCAGGGTCTGTTAAGACCTGTGGATATGGCAGCGACCAACTGAAGAAATACAAAGTTATGAATGAAGAGAAGGAAAGATACAAGACACACAGAATAGAATTTTCAAAGGTAAGAACCCAAGGGACCACAGCCTGCTTGTGGGGTTCTGATGGTGGCCCTGAGTGTCAGTTCCACTCAGCTTTTATTGAAGGCTATTTGCTCATTAGCCCAAAGGGTACACTGAAGAAGGGAACAAAGATGTCAGTAGTTTCTCTGAGTAAGCATATCAACTTCTATTGTTTCTAAAATCATTAACTTTAAGGGTCTGAACAATCTTGAGAAACCTGAGCCTTGTGTGGGCACAGCCTCCTGTCTGAGGTCACAAACACACAGATTCCTAGGGAGGTGTTAATCTCCACTAGTTCACTGTGGAGAGAAATGGCACTGGCATCAATCTCCTCTGAAGAATCAGTGGGAGAGAGGAATTTTCCTCTCATCACCACCACAGAAGGTCTTCCTCTGCAATAAGGGACACAAGCCCTCCTACCCGTATTTCAGGAGCTTGAGCTGTTCCCTTGATTTCTGCCCAGGCAAATATAAATCTCCACAATGGGTATTTGCTTTGACTGTTAACTGGGCAGGAAACAGCCTAGTTAATGCATCTTGCCAGACCTTGCCACAGCGCCTTCTGTGGACATTATTTCCTTCAGAGTGCTTGTAGACCCAGCAGGAAGTTTGTAAGCTGTATCCCCAATGGGCTAGAGTTCCAGGAAAAGCAGGAAACTTACTCAGATAAGACATTTAGCAGCAGCTGCTTTAAAGGTAAACCAGCTGACTTTCCTTTGTTCCACCTTGCTCAGCTTACTTTTTAATTTTTCCCTTTTTCTGGGGGCGTTTTCCCTTGCCAAGAATGGGGTCTAGGTCCCCATTCTGCCTGCAGGAACCCTGAGGCTGTTTTCTGCAACTACATGGTCCCACCTGGGGGGAAGAGAGAGAGCATCATTATGTGGCTTATGTCCTTAGCTCCAGTTCTGATCATCAGGCATTAGATTCTCATAAGGAGCACACAGCCTAGGGCCCCGACATGCACAGTTCACACTGGGGTTCATACTCCTATGGGAATCTAATGCTGCCACTGATCTAACAAGACGTAGAGCTCAGGCAGTGATGTGAGTGATGGTGAGCAGCTATAACACAGATGAAGCTTTGCTCACTCACCGCCCCACTCCTCACCTCCTGCTATGCCACATGGTTCCTAATAGCCCATGGACTGATACCAGCCCACAGACCACAGTCCTAGAACATCACTAATTTAAAAAAATAATAATAAAACTTAAATGATTATTGTGTCCTTTTTCATATAAATTAGAGTATGTACAAAAATAATTCATTTGCTTTGGAGCAGTCTACAAACCAAAAATAACTTCCAGGAAAATAGGGACATAGAGAAGTTAAACATCAAAGCAACATCTGTGATAGAGCAAGATCTAGAGCACAAACCTCTTATGGGTCTAATATTTCCAGGCCATACCAAGTTGACTTAGTGAAGTTTACCTAATATAGGAAGTCTTATTTTGAAAACTCCCATCCAAAAGATCCAAAATTTGTGAATTAGGCTATGGCAAGAATGTCACACACTTCACCACCCCAACGGGAAAGACTCTGAAGTAATAGACTCACTGCCTGGCCATGCAAGTCATCCATTTAGCCATTTTTCTAGATGCTATCATTGAACACATTCCTGCATTTCATGCAACCTAATTTAAACATCTAACCGGCTATTCTGAGTGCATCTGAGGGAACTAAAAGCTTGATAACTCTGACACCTAGTGGCTGTGAAGAAACTGGTGCTGATCCAGCATAGGAAGAGTGTTAGCTACTGAGGCAGTATCTGCAAACACAGAGCACTTAATCATTATGTTTACTAAGTGATAAGGTACCAATTCTGAAAGACACTCTACACAAGCTTTTTTGGCTTTATATTTATCTTGGGGCCTACACAAGGAAGCAAAAGGAAAAGCACTTTTATTTGTAACATGTATTTTCCCTCAACCTTCCACATTTAGCAAATTTCAAAAATCAAAGAAAACTAAAGATCAATTCATATTTTGGAATATTGATTTCATATTCATATTTCGGCACGTTTAATTGCTTATGTACACTCACAACCGCATACTTGTCTTCTGGTAATTCTCCTCCTCAGGTATCCACCTCCCAAATATAAAAGCCATCTGTGGGAGGGGGGAAAGGAGAGAGGGGGATGGTGTGCTCCCAGTTAATGGGCACAATGTCAGAATATATGGCAGAACTCTGGGGTGCGGGACACAACTGCAGTAGGGACTCTACCTAACAAATGCAAGCATTATAACCTAATTGTACCTTCACATCAATCTGAAATTAAGAAGAGAAATAAAAAATGTCATCTGACCAAACCATTACAGAGATTCTCTTTATACCACTGAGATGTCGTCGGTCAAAGGGGCCATCACAAACTAGCAGGAGTTTTCTTTAAGACTGTCTAAGAGCACACGTGGAAACCCCTAAAGTATACATCTAAAAGCGAGGACCACACTGAACACTACAGGAAGCCACACAAACACAGCAGATCAGCACACACAGCCTATCACTGCCTTAACCATTAGAAGATAAGTCTCCTCAGACCCACCTGCCCCTCCGATAGGCAGGATAGTGGGAAACCTCAAGTTTTAGTTCATTTCCTCTGCCAGGAACTCTGGCTCCTACCTGCTGGCGTTTGAAGGCTAAATAATCCAAATTTTCCAGCTCTTTCCCAAGCTTCTGGTAGGTTTTCTGAAGGTCGGATTTGTTGGAAACATTTTTAAGGGATTCAAATGTCCTTTGGAACTGAAATTAAAAGCAAAAGCAAAAGCAGATCAGGATAGCAGCATGTTTTTCTCAAATCCCAGCTACCTAATACAGAAATAATTGACAATGAGCCTCAGATGCTCCCATGCATAATACAGTGATAACAAATGCTCGCTAATTACCATTCAATGAAATAATTAGAACTAATGATAAATACAGTAGAACCTCTGTAAGTTGACCAACTGTAACAAACTGAAAAACACATGGAGGTGGTCAACATAAGGAACTAGGCCTCCTGTAATACATATGTACATGTGATGCATGTCTGGTCAATGAAAATCAGGTCAGCTTAAGGAGGTGAACAATGTAAGGAGGTGGCCAACTATGGAGGTCCTACCGTAATTAAAAACTGTATCCTAAGTATAATCAAACATTACTGCACAAATGAAAAGCTTGCTTAATCCTCATTCTAATAAAAGAGCATACTTCATCAAAAAGATTAATATTTTAGGATATACCACTGCTTTTAAAGAACACAATACACAATTTCAAATCATAATGAGGCACCAACATTATAAGAGCCCTCACATCCCAATTATGGAAATAAATTTATGAAAAAGTAGCTACTTACATGATATTTTGCTATAATGGCATGGGACCTGGCTTTTCACTGTAAAAATATCTATGAGGTATAGATCACCCAGCCCACTTCAGCAAGGAATATCTCAGAGCTTATATTTTGAGAAGGAAAGAAACTTAACATTTTCAGGATCAAAGCATACGTGGTACATTTAGCAAACATTAATTCAGTTCTGCTCTATAACATAGATGAGTTATGAAATCAGTTCTGCTGAATCAGAATGCTCCCGTTCACTAGATAAATACAAAGGTGACAAATTATAGTACATCACAGAATACTGTCTGCTACTGGTAATTAATTAAGCAAAGGCAGCTCAGAAAAAAAAATTGGATTCTTGGTTTATTTTAGGAAATCAGAACATACTTCGGAGGGTTCGTGATTGAAAATGTCAAGTAATGTAATTTGCAAGACATTTGCATTTGCTCTCTCTTTATGTCATTTGTTACCCATATTCTCACTCTGTGCCATGAGACGGATTTCCACAGATAGAGACCTCACCATCTTAACCACACCAGAACTCCACTAAGACTATGATGCTATGAGACAGGCTAATAAGATTTTATAGAACATAATTAAGTTTCTGGGGAAATGATTTGACCCTTACTATATCAAATAAGTCATATTAGAATGGCGTTCTACTGAATTAAATCTTTAATTCCATGAAAGCTACATGTTTATCTCCATCCAAGGTGACAGAGCAAAAAGAAATGGGCCATAACAGCGCTAGACTTCCACATGCAGGACAATAAATTAAATTCAACAAAAAATCCCTGAGAACCTATTATGCACAAGGCACTATGAGTGCAAAAGATATTTCCATCCCTAAAGGAACCTTCCAATTACTGAGGAAACCAGACATGAAACTTAGACATTTATGGAGTGCCTGCTCGGCCCTAGGTACTTTATGCTTTCCAATTTAATCCTCACCAGAACCACGGGGGTCCCGATTTCTCTTCCCCTTCTCTAAGTAAACTGGGACTCAGAAAGTTTGATTGAACTGGGTTTTTACTACAATGTTCAGGCTCTTTTTACTCTACTGTTAACTCTGACACAGGCAGAGTAGTAGAGAGAGTGCAAAAAAGAGATAAAAGTAATATGCAGTGAAAACTCAAAAACTCACTGTTACTGACTGAGGGACTCAGACCACACCAAAGACATAAGAGGATATGAATTGGACCTCAAAGGCCAGGAAGTCTTTTCGGAATCTTACTTGGAAACTAATTCTACCTATCAGCTCAAATATAAACAAAATATGCTCATCTTTCCCCTCTGGTAACATAATAAACAAGCTCTTTTCAACATAATTTTAATGACCTTTATGTTAAATATTTATCATGTCACATGATCATTTCTGTGCCTTGCCCATTTCGAAGTTCCTTTTCACTGTTTATTTTATTTTATTTTATTTTGAGACAGAGTCTCAAGCTGTCACCCTGGGTAGAGGGCCATGGCGTCACAGCTCACAGCAGCCTCAAACTCTTGGGCTTAAGCAATGCTCTTGCTTCAGCCTCCCAAGTAGCTGGGACTACAGGTTTTTCTATTGTTATTGCAGTTGCCATTGTTGTTTTAGCGGGCCCGGGCCAGGTTCGAACCCGCCAGCCTCAGTGTATATGGCCAGCATCCTACCCACTGAGCTATGGGCGCCATCCCTTTTCACTATGTTTAAATCAAATTAATACCTTATCCCAGAGTCTAAACAATGTAAGTAGTTTTATCTCTGAATTCGTTAATGCAAGCTATTTGCCAACCAATACATTTCATTCTAAAGCACTCTTTACCCTCTGCACATTCTCTTCTTAGCTCTACTTAATTTTCTTCTTCACATTTATCTCAGTGAACTCTATACAACTCCAAAATGGACACATACTTGGAAGATTTCGAAGAAAGAAACACAAAAACCCACTACTTCCAGGTAATGTGTTCATAGCCAAAGAAGGAAGGGAGAAAATCTAGTAATTTATATCATCACAAAAGATGCTTTAACTAAAGTCCAGAGTTTGCATAATGTAGAGATTTTAGCTTGAACTTTGATTAGCCAGACTTATATCCTCTACTTATTGATAGTAAAGAGCTAAAATACTCTAAAACTATGATGATTCCGTTCATTTAAGTAGGCGTTTTTCACTTACAACAACAAATAATTGTCAAAGAGAAGACACAGGAATCCTGTGGTGTGACCTTGGCTGAGACCCCCATTAAACACATAGCACCCCCGCCTGCCTACATACACACTTCAGATATAGAAGAATAAAAGCAACGATTTTACTTTGCAATGAAGCTGAGGTCTAGAAGATAAAATAAAGACTGGCTAAGCTGAGGCCTAGATTTTAAAGACTGTTGACTTGGTCTGATTTTTCTAATAGGCCACTATGCTTGATCATTGAAACAGACCTCTGAGATGTTCTACATTAGTTCAACATGCTATCATTTCCTTATATTGACTATTTCTCAAAATAAATAATCTCCCAGTTGAAGATATGCAGGGAAAGGAAACACAATTAATTGAAGAGATTTTAATATTCCTGGATTTTACTTGTTCAAAGTTTTAAGTAGGAATTAAAATGAGCCAAAAACTCCAAGGTTCAATTTGTTGAACCTTGAATTTATCCTGTTTTAATGTTTTAACTTATTATAAACCCAATTGACATCTTAAAAAAAAAAAAAGCTTAGTGAATCAATCCGAATGAAAAACAAACCTAGGTATGTTTTAAAACTATTGAAACTGAATATTAATATGGTCTCCGAACTGAAAGGCAAATCCAAATCTGTCCTGGTTGACTACCTTATAATACATCCCAAGTGGACAAGAATGAGAAGACGCAAACAGGATCCCTAAGCCAACACTCCCAGACTGGTTTTCCTCATCAAATTCCTTCTGTTCAGTAATAATAATAGTAACCTGTAAAATGAAACAAGAGAGACCTTACTTGTTCATCTCCCATTAAAATAACTGCTATCTGTTTTGCAAAACTGGGAAGCAGATGTGTAGTGTAACGCAGCATTCCCTTGTCCCAGATGTATTTTTTCTCCTTTTTCCTAATAATGCTTACTTAAATAAATCTAAGCCAATGTTCCATACAAACTATACATCCGAGGAGTTTGTAAAATTATGTAGATTTATGGAGTAATGGGAGAAGGAGAACAAGACAAGAAGAAATAGGCTGAAACAGGAGGGAAAAACTGTAGCCAGGGCTCTGGGAAATAAACCTTTCCCAGCCTTCGTTCCCGATGCCCTTTATAGTCAAATCGATTGAATCAAGCAACTCCAGAGCTCCAGCAGCCTACTAATACACATAATTTAAAAATATCAAGTCTCATTGCTCTAAAACAAAAGCCAGCTCAACAATCATCATTTTTCCTTATCTTATATTTTGTGCATTTGTACAAGGTGTTGGGAGCTATCGATAATATAAACAGAAATTCCAAACTTGCAGCATTCTGTGTACAAACAGTGTATGGAGTAAGTGCCTTATTGAAAACACTAGGTCACCAAGTATGATCTAGTGTTCCTAAAAGGCCAATCTGAAACAAAGTCAAAAGATTCTGGGGACTAAAACAGAAGGAAGAAATAGTTCAAAAAATATATATATTAATGCTCTATAAATGTTAATGTTTAGCATAAAAAGAAACTGTTTTAAGCATAAGAAATGGCTAATCTACCTTACTTAAATATGGCAACCATAAACAATCAGAAATGAAATATTATAGAGAAAAAAATATTTTTCTGAACTTAATCCATTGACTTTCATGCATGTTTTCCAAATGAACTTGTGAGATGATAATAACACTCATTAAAAGAAAGTTTACAACTGAAGCAGAAAATTAAAGTACACATACATATCCAAAATGTTTTTTTACTGTAAGGAATGATCACAAAAGTTTAGCAGATAGACAAAACTGGGCTCAAGATCTAAATTAGAAACAGTCCTTATGTAGTTGAAGGCACTGGTCTTGATGTCTGGGGTCCAAGTCCTTTCTATGCCATAACTGCGTAACTTTGAAGAAGTCACTGCTCCAATTCTTGATTGTGTTATCTATAACATGAGACAAATTGCCTTTGCCTGCCTAATTTATAATATTGTTGTGAAATCAGTTGCAGGAAAATGACAGGCATTCATTCAACAAATTTTTTTTTTTAGAGAGTCTCACTGTGTTGCCCTCCGTAGAGCACTATGACATCACAGCTCACAGCAACTTCCAACTCTTGGGCTTAAGTGATTCTCTTGCCTCCCAAGTAGCTGGGACTACTGACACCCACCACAACACCTGGCTATTTTTTCATCACAGTTGTCATTTCTGTTTAGCAGACCCAGGCCGAGCTCCAACCCACCAGCCTCAATGTATGTGGCTGGCACCCTACTCACTGAGCTATGGGCGCCGAGCCTCATTCAACAAATGT